CCTTGTGAAAACACAACACATTCCAGGGGAGGGATGAGCTCACCGGGCACCTGGACGGTCTCCCAGTCGGTAACACGGGACTGTGCCACACCGCCTCCTGCTCTGGTGATGTGTCAGGACAGCCTGGTTGAGCAACAGGAGCCCAGGATCAGGCCGAAGCCCTGGCAGGATCCTGTGGCTCTTCCTTCCCTCCCAGCCCTACCTTTCCACGTTTCTCAACAGTGCCCCTCACCTCTGTCCCTGGGCCAGCTGCCCGCTTCCCGCCCTGTGCCTCTGCTCCATCCCCACGACTCCCACGTCTTCTCAGTCTCAGGCCAGGACAAAGGCTGCCTTCACCCCCGGACACAGGTGTGTTTGCCTGTCACAGTGTGTGCTGCAGTGTCTCAGTGGGGAGCCTTGAGAGCCAGCTTTCCCGGCATAGTTTACTAACAGGAAAGCAAACCCACTTGAGTGGTTTCAGTAGGCGCACACCCTGCGGGACCAGGGCGGATGGATTTCCAGCTCCCTGCTTTCCTGTCCACTCTCTCCCTCACCCCAGCCCTGTGGAGACAGGGATCTGACCTCCGTCAGGCAGATCGGGCCTCTCTGGAGCTCCCCAGGAGTGGGGTAGAAATGGGGGATGTTTCTGTATCTGCACTCGGAGTCAGGTTGTGGAGTTCCTCTGTGCTCTGGGCACTGGGAGGTCGCTTCGCTTCTGATGAGGACACAGTGAAGTGGGAAGCAGCTCGTGTCTGGTGGTTGAGTGGACACAGTCTGATTGTCCTATGGTCCCCGTCCTTGGTCCACTGGAAATCAACCTGGGACGTCCTGGTGGACGCCACATGAGAATTGGGCATGGTGACCTACCCCCTCAGTTTCCCCGGACTGAGGGATTTCTCAGGCTGCAGCGGCTTTGGGGCTGAGGCCCTCTGGGTCCCAGGCAATCGGGTCACAGAGGAGGTGTGGGCCAGCTTGGCACAGCGGTGTGGCACTGAGTCATAGAGCAGACCTGGGTTTCCCTAATAGACCCTGGCTTAGCTCACGGATCCCTGATTCGCCAACGGTGGAAAAGTCCAGGCTTCCCAGCTCAGGTGACTCAAGTCCTGTCACCCCGAGAGGCGGTCGCTCGTCCCAGACTCAACACTGGCCTCTTTTCCTCTCTGAGTGCTGCCCACCCAGAGCACTTCCCGCTGGTAGCTGTCCACCTGGCACTGGGCACGTGCTGCTGCCTTCCATGGGCCCTGCCTGGTGACTCTGGAGAGCTCGGCCAGGGCCTGCAGAACCCTCTGGAGCTTGCCAGGTAACTGGAACACTGGAGCTTCCCCCAGTCTGTGTCCCTGTGACACCCTAGCCACCTGTCTCCAGGTGCCATTGTGGAGGAGGGGCTGCCATGGAGCGGTGGTCTCCTCCTGGATAGGGACACAGGTGATCCTTGCCTGGGCTCCTGCCCCTTCCTCTGGGCTGCTGCCCCACTCCCCCACTCTCCTTTTACAAGGAATAGCTAATACCCACCGATAGCTGTGTAGTGCTGCTTTGGACACGCTCTTCCCTGGGGCAGAGACTCCAGCTGGCTCTAGACCTCTACGTGTTTGACTTTTGATATATGTTTAAGGATATGTTCCAGAATCTCAACAAATGAGCAAAAATAAAAAGCAAACTGTCCTTTCTTTAGTGGAAGATTTAAGTTTTTAAAGATTTGAGATTTCAAAATCAACCTGGGGAGGACACGATCTCCTCAGCGCACTCCTGTGCCTGCCCCTGTCAGGCTAGCCACCCAGGGAGGGTCATCCGCTTCCTGGGGACAGAGCTGGGGGGATCAGAGGGGAGGCAGGAAGGGAGAGGCAGCTCTGGAGAGTGGCTTGATTGCGTCTCACAAAAGTGAGATGAGAGATTTTAGTTCCTGGAAGTCTCAGAAGAAAACACAAGTCATGCTCTTAATGAGCTACAACCGGCCCAGGAGTCTGTTTGCCCTCTGTCCCTTTGGTGATCCTTGACTGTGTCAGTTATGTAAAAAAAAAAAAAAAGGGAAACAAACAAACCCCAAGTCTTCCCCAAAAGACAACAAAAAGAAATCCCTTGATATTTAGAGATTATGACATTGTTTTCTAGTATATCATGATTTTTTTTTTTTTTTTTAATTCTAAGGTGAAACCACTGTGGAAATCAGTGTGAAGATTCCTCACAAAACTAGGATTAGAGGTCCCATTTAACCCAGCTATTCCCCTCTTGGGTATTTTCCCAGAAGAATTAAAAACATCACACCACAGCTATATATGTGCACCCATGACTGTAGCAGCACAAGTTTTGATAGTTAAATCTGGAAACAACCCAAATGCCCATTATATCATGATTTTACAAACGATGTTACCAAGGGGTACTTCAGCATGGATGTATGTGAAGTAATGCATTGTTACTGTTCTCCCCCCCAAATCAGAAGTGTGTACTGTAGCTCACTTTATTCCTTTCACTAAATGGGTGATAGCACATTTTATTCCCAAACATTTTCTTCAGTAACATCTCCTGATGGGAATCTATGCATGGCACAGAAGGTAGAGCTCCCTGTGCCTTTGAAAGTCACCTCGATGGTGTTTTGTTACATGGCTATGTCATAATCCAAATAAGCAATCCCTTATTAATGGGTCTGTTCACTGTTTTTTTGCTGAAAGAATCAGAAGAGGACCCAAACTTGCTTAGACAGTAAAGAAGCTGGTGGAGCCAGGTAGCTGGAGTTCATGGGAAGGGAGGGAGCTGCACAGGAAGTGGGCGAGGCTGCTGCCTAGAGAAGCCATGCAGGAGCTGTGAGGGCCCCCTGGTTTGAGCCCAGCGTGGGCACCCTGTCCTGGACTGACAGCTGCCCCGGCCAGTACTGTGGGTACCTCTGGGCTATATGTGCCATCCACAGAGGGCTTTAAAGTTGGTCCCTACTTTTCAAAATTATGAATGTTATTTTAAAAAATGTTCATACTATCTGTATGGCACTGTTTGTGTAATTATCTGTTTAGAATTAACTCAAAATAATATTCCTGGCTCAAAAAGAATGTGAGTTATGAGTTTTGCTCCGTAATGACACTTTATCCTTCAAAAGATTTTAACAATTTACACTTATCAATCACTGTCCCCGGTTCTTTTGTACTTCACTTACTTAGATGTTAGAAATCTTCTAGCCTTTGCCAAATCACAGTATTTTCCATATACTCTTAATTTGTGTGTCTTGGGTTATTTGTAATTTTGAACATATTTTTCGTATCTATTTTTTTCCTTCTCCTCTGGATGGTTTCTTCATACCCATTGCTGGATTTTCTCTTGTATTTGTGGGAATTGTTAGTTTATTATTAACATAACCCCTTGTTGGTAATGTAGGTTAAAATATTTTCCCCTGATTTCTATCTTTTGTCTAATTTCATTTTTTCCAAGCTGCCTTTCTTACACAAAAATTTTTCCCTTTCATGTAGTTGAAATGATGAGATTATTTTCCTTCCCCTCCTCTGGGTTTGATGTCAAGCTACGTTCTTCCTCTGTTGAGGGTTATAAAAATAGCTTCTTGTATTTTTCTCTTTTATTTTTGGTTTTCCCATCTTGTACTCTGAGCTATCTAAGATGTTCCTGCTGCGAGGAGTCAGATGAGAGGTTGGGTTTGAGTCCTTGTCTGTGTGACCCCAAGTTCTGCTTCCTCTGCTATCTGCCTCCCTTGGGTGAATGGCATCTCAGGTTCCTCCTCTGCAGCCTTTCTTTCTCACAGGAGAGTCCTGGAGCCAGGCACACACACACACATGCACGAATGCACACACACATGTACGAGTGCACACACACATGCATACATGCATTGCTTCACATACCTGGGTAAGATGAGAGCTTGTGATCCAGCCCAGCATGTGCCCAGCAACTGTATCCTGGCATGAGCTCCTGGGGCCCTCCTGGATGTATGGAGGCCCTCCTGCTGGCTCTGGGCTCCAGTAAGCTAACTGATCTGTCTGTATCTAGATTGTTCCTGGAGCTGTGGGTATAAAAAAATTCCTTTCTCACTGGGCCTGGAATGCAGTGGTACCTTTCTCTGCCCTTGTTTGTTCTAAATGTTCTTGTTTGATCCAGCACTAGGTTGGGTGGTTTTCAATCTTAAGTGTACATAAGGATTTACCATTGTGAGAACCCAGTGAGCAGCAGGTTCCTGAGGTCCTGTTCCTGGTGCAGCATGTCTAGGGCTAAAGTACAAATAAGTCTGGATTGACTTCTTCCACAGACGTTTCATGAGGGTCCAAAGCGCTGGTACAGAGGACGTGGGTACAAGATGGTGGACATAATGAACATGTGGCTTACATTCTACTGAGGAGGGTGGATGGTAAGCAAACAAGCAAACTCACTTGGGTACCAAAAACAATCCATTAAGCAAGGTGCTGACTGACAAATGTTGGGATGGAAGGTGGGGTGGCCCATGGAACCCAAGTGGATTAGAAAGAAGGTCAGCCTCAGCTCTGACACGGGTGAGACCATCCTCTGCAACAGAAGTTAAAGGGGGAAGTGTTGGTGGATTTCTCAGAAGCTTGTCATATGTCTATTCTGTGGCCTTTGCCATCTTTACTCCATTTCCCCCAGAGCCTCAGTAAAATCACTTAAAACTCTGAGCAAAGGTGAGCCACACTTAGGGCTCTGGCATGCCAACTGGATAAAATATTGTCTCTTAAGTAAACTAAACATGACATCCTCTTGCTAGTCTGTGATGGGGACAGAGGTACACTCTTTTGAAAATACACAGTCCACGGTCAACAAATCTCTAACCTCAAAGAGAAGAGAAGAGCCCAAAACAACCGTCTCTCACTTGGTGAAAAGTACCTTCTCTTCTAGGGCTTCTGAGCCCTTTTTGGGACCCTCTAAAACTGACACCAGCCATGCCCCTCTTTAGCAACAGGATGGAAGAGCCAGCAGGTGAAAAGGCTTGTCAAGGTCCAAAGGCCTACACATAGCTCGGTGAGTTGCCATCTGTCCTACAACTTTAAACTTATGTCATTTGTGTTTCATTGCAGATGGCCAGTACGTGGTCTCCAGCTTCACAGCAGCACTTCCGGTTCATCTTTTGGATTTAGTTTTGGAATTTCACGTAGAAACTCAAATTGCTAGTTATCTGTTGTTGTGTAGCAACTTTCTTTGCCTCAAAACCCAGTGAAAAACAACCAGTTTCTTTTTACTCGTGCTCTGTGGGTTGGATGAACCAGAGTTCTACTCCATGAGCTGCTGACTGGGGCTGCAGTCCTGCGGGACTCACTTGGGCCAGTGAGATTCAACATGGTGCCCTCATGTGGCTCCACTTCTGTGAGGATATGGAAGGGGGGGCTCAGATGGCTGGCAAGGAGAGAAGGCCCCTACCTGCCCTTGTAGTCTCAGTTTTTCCCTGTGTTCTGCAGGAGGGTAGCCTATTTCTCACACAGAAATTCATGGATCTTAAAAATCAGAGAAGTGGAAAAGGCTGAACTTTTGTAGGTATAAGTATCAAGCTGGTACGCTATCACTTCCTTTGCCTACTGTAGAGGAGACCAGTCCAACCAAATTCAAAGAGAAGGGCAACACATTCCCTACCCTCAAAAAGAGTGATAATTATTAGAGCCACCATAACATCGAAAAGGAGTAACCATTTTCTCATTGGCATTCTGCTAAAGGAAAGAGAATATTTTTTACAGTGGCATTCACAAAAGTAAAGCAATAAAGGAAAGTTTTTGTTGTCATTTAAAGCACGGCCAGCTGTGAATGGACGAATATACAGTGATTTTTATTTTCTTATTTAGTAAACATCTTTGCTGTTTGTGAAGTTTTTCAGTGCATCATTTTTACAATCAGAAAAACAATGTCATTTTCATTTAAAAATATATATGCCCATGCATGTATACATTTAGGTGTATCTCATATATTCTTTTCTGAATTGTACCTTAGTAAAGTCAGGAATGATAGCTGAATTACCCAGTCATGTGACCTCCACAGGACCTGTGTGTCAAGAGGTGGCTATGGTGAGACCATGTGACCAGCTGGATATTCAAGACACTCCTGGCACCCATACCTGCAATCCTTTGACTTTATTTAATTCAGATGAATACTTCTCTACTAAATCTCTGCCAGTCAATCTGCACAAAAGATATGTATTTATTCTACAAATGTGTATGCTGTGCATGTTGTAATATTGGCTCCATGTTAGTCTGGAGGTTCTTGATTTAGGGATTTTACCTTCAGGAGCTTGTGAGCTGGAGGAGGAGATATGCTGATACCCAAAAATAGAGCCAGTGTGAAAAACAAAGCCACAAAGGTGGATACATATATGTATATTGACAAGGTGAGTACCACCTATTTGAAAAGGAAAAATAAGTTCTAACTCTTTCCAAGGGATTAGATTTCTAGTTGTAGACCTCTTCATCTAAATATGTATAAGATTTTTGAATCCTTGATCTTATATCCCTATTAGACATACTCTGTGCAACTGGCTCGAACAATTAATGGAATGATTTGCATATTGCAAAACGAAATAGTCACTGTCCAACAGTTTAATCAGGAGGCCTTCCCTTCTGAGCCTCTGGACTCCTCCCCCCCCACCACTCCCTGCCATGATGCCACAGACTCACCAGTTCACTTACCTGGTGCAAGTTTCTGAGGCAAAGCCATTACACACTTTCCTGATTGTCTACTGCAGTTCCCACAAGAGCCCTAGAAAGCCCAGATATCAGAGGTTAATTTCTTTATGAAGATATAAGAAGTATATTAGAAGATAAGAGTGGTAAAATGGGTTCAATAACAGATGTTACTGGGGTGGGTATTGGGACCCATTTGAATTCCAGTCAGCAAGGAGGGAGCACTACTAGCTTTAAGAAGATCAGTCTATTGGCCGTGTATGAAGAGCTTCTCCACAGATGTGTGCTAGGCAGAGATTTATTGTGAATATCTAAAGCCCAATAGAGTCTGCCTTCAGGTGATGTTGTTCTAGCTCAAGTATGCTATTAGAACCTTATGAGACTTTTGTTTCTCCCCTCTTAGTCTTTCCAGTATGATGGCTGCTCATTTTTCTTCTGTATTTGTTGAGACTGCTTTTTTTCTTTTTTTAGTGCCAGGAATTGAACTCAGGACCTTGCACTTGCCAGGCAGGTGCTTGTGCCGCTGAGCTATATCCCCAGCCCCTTATATTTGTTATAAGTCCCACAATCAATCATTATTTTGCTACAAACAGTTACCTTTTGAAGAACAGTAATAATAAAGAATCTGCAATTTGTGCCCATGTAGTTGCTATTTCTGTTGTGTTCCATTCTTCTGTGGATGAGATCTCTACTTGGTAAATTTCTGCTTCTGTTGGAGAACTTCCTTTACTACTTCCTGTAGTGCAGATCTGCTGGTAATGAATTAAAATTTTTATTTTTGCCTTTATTTTCAAAAGGTATTTTGCTGGATAAAAAATTCTAGTGTGATAGTTGTTATTTCCTTTAGTACTTTAAAGATATTGATTCAAGGTTTTTTAACTTGCATAGTTTCTATTGAAAAATCTGCAGTCATTCTTACCTTCCTTTCTCCTGAGCTCTTGCAGCAGCTTGCAAAAGTTTCTCTACTTCACAGGTTGATTGTGTGATACCTAGGGGCTGTTTTCTTCATATCTCCTGTGCTAGAAGGCTGTTGCATTTCATGGATGTATGGGTTTAGAATTTCCTTTATATTTGGGAATTTTTTGGCCATTAAATATTCAATTTTTTTCTATCACCTCCTTTACATTCCTTTCCCATTCTAGGGACTTTAATTACAAATATGTTTGGGTGCTTTATATTGTTCCACAATTCACTGATGCTTTGATCATTTTTCTCATCTTTGTTTCCCCTTCCCATTTAGTTCTGGATCATTCCCACTGCCATGTTTTGAAAAGTCCACTAATGTATTTTTCTGAACTGTCAAATCTTCAGTGTTGCTTTTTGCATTAATTTCATCTTATGTACTATTCAAAATCTCAGACATATTTTCTCAGAAAGATTATTTTATATCTTTAAAAAAATCTCTCATACCTCTAGTCAACATGTTTGGTTTTTCTCTAGCATCCTGAGCACATAAAATATTCTTGTTTTTATGTTATTTCTTATTAATTTCATAATCTGTGCTGTTTATGGATCAGTTTTGATTAGTTTTTTCCTTTTTATGGGTTACTTTTACTGATTCTTTGTATACTTTGCACTTTTTATTACATTATAGACATTATGAATTTTACATTGTTATGTTAGACATATACAGAACACTCCATCCACATTCTTTTGAACTGCACCTGAAACATTTTCTAGGATAGATCATTCATTAGGTCATAAAAGATATCAGTACATTTAAATGGATTGAATCATCTGGACTATGTTCTCTGATCACAATTTTTTTGTTTTTTTGGTTTTTCTCCGGTACCAGGAACCTAACTCATGACCTTGCACTTGTCAGGCAGGTGCTTTGCCGCTGAGCTAAATTCCCAGCCCCTCTGATCACAATTTGATGAAATTAGAAATCAATGAAAGAAGAAAATGATGAATGTGTGGGAATTAAGCCACACACTTTGAAATATTAAATGAATCAAAGAACACATATAAGAGAAATTATAAAATACTGTAAGAGGAAAGAAAATGAAAACATAACATAGAAAACATAGTATAATATACATAATGTAGAGAACATAAAATAAAAACATATAATACAGCATGCAATAAAAATGCAGCTAAAAGGAACTTTAGACATATCAGTGACTATATTAAAAATATCTCAATTTACCTATTCTTCCAACCTAAGAAACTATAAAAAGAAGTGTAAAAAGGAAGGAGAAAATATATAAAGATAAATTAGAAATAGATGAAATGGAGGTTAAGGAAAAAAAGAGGAAAAATGTACAAAATTAAAGCTAGCTTTGTACAGGAAATAGTACTGAGAATCAACAAATGAGGTAATACCAAATTTAAAAACTTCTGTACAGCAAAAATAAAACAGCAACCAAACAAACCAAAAAACCAACCAACAGAGTGAAAGAAAACTGGCAAAGTGGGAAAAATTTTGCCAGCTATTCCTGAGACAGAGGACTTATATTTAGAATATGTAAAGAATTAAAAAAAAATAGACAACCCCAAATAAAATGCCCAATCAAAAAATGGGCAAATGAAATAAATAGACACTTCATAGAAGAAGTACAAAATGGCCAATAAATACATGAAGAAAGTCTTAACATGGCTGGCTATTAGAGAAATGCAATTTAAAATGATTCTGAGATTTCACCTTCCCCAGAAAGAATGGCCATCATCAAGAAATTAGATGATAACAAATTCTGGTGAGGCTGTGGGGGAAAGGAGCACTTCTACCTTGTTGGTGGGAATGTAAGCTAGTACAACCACTATGGGAATCCCTATGGAGATTCCTCAAAAAATGGAAACCCTATTTAATCAAGCTATTTCTCTTCTAGGTATCTTCCTGAAAGAGTTAAAGACACCACATTACAGTGGTTCATGCTTACCCACATTTACAGCGGCACAACTCAAACAGTGAAATCACAGAAGCAAACTATATGTCCATGAGCACATGAATGGGTAAGGAGTATATGGTATTTACACACAATAAAATACTATTCTGCCATATAGAAGCATAAGCTTGAGTCATCTGTAGGAAAACAGATGCACCTTGAGACCATAATGTTAAGTGAACTAAATCAGACACACAGCTTCAATATAGTATCACATGGTTTCTCTTGTATGAGAAACTCAACGCATAAATAAAGAGCAAGATACAAAATAAGTAACATCAAGTAGAGAGAGTTTTCTCAACAGGGAAGAGGATCAAGAAATGAAGGGAGGGTGGAAGGAGATAAAGGGAAAGGGATGAAAAAAGGAATTAAGGTGTGTTGTGTAAACACAGCACAAGGAATGTAAACACGAATTGCCAACTTATACAAAAACTGGGTGGAGGGTGAAGAGAGAAGGGAAGGAGGATGACCTGTGTCATGAACCTGTACCGATTCACACATTGGATGGAAATTTCTGTGCTCCCTCATGGGCTAATAAAAAATGAAAAAAAAAATTGGTTTATGAAACGATAAATAAAATTGGCAAACCTTCAGCTAAACTGACAAAGAAGAGGAGAGAGAGAATACTCAGATAAATAAAATTAAAAAAGAAAAGAAGGGACTTATTAGTAACACTACAAAAGTAAAAAAATTATAAAGGAACACTATGCGAATTTTATGCCAATAGATTAACTATTCTAGATTAAATGTACATATTCTTAGAACGATATTACTAGGAAAAGATAATTTGAATATCACTCTAATAAATAAATTTAGTCACTATCAAAAATTTCCCATGAATTAAAGCCAGGCCTAGAAAGCTTCACTGGTGAATTCTTCCATACATTACAAAAAACCCCGACAATAATCCTTCTGAAAACTCCCTAAAATAGTGCAAGGGATACTTCCTATGAAGCCATTTTTTCTCTGATACCAAATCCAAAGCTATAAGAAAATTAAAATAAAGACTGATATTGCTTATGAATACAGATGCAAGAATCCTCAGCAAAATGCAAGGAAGCTGTACAGACCATCATATAAAGGAATATAAACTATGACCGAGTGGGGGTTGTCCTACAAATTCAAGGTTGATTCAATGTCCCCAAATCAATATATTCACAGGATAAAGGACAAACACCAAGCGATCCTCTCAATAGATGCAGACAAAGTACAACTTTTTTGATGATAAAGTCAACAAGCAACAGCCTACGAAGAGAAGATAACTTCATTACCCCGGGATAATGAGCACCCATGACACCCCCACAGCTAATGTTATACCCAGTAGTGAAAAGGCAGTAGCCCCTCCTACACACAGGAGGAAGAGAAGGGACATCTGTTCTCACCACTTCTACTCAACATGGTCCTGCTGGCGTTAGACAGGTAATTAGGCCAGAAAAGAAGAGAAAGGCAAGCATCTCCAAACGAAAGAAGGAAAACTGTCAGTATTCTCACATGGTCTCGTATTTGGAAAATTCTAAGACATCCAGGAAAAATAATCAGACCTTATAAACAAGTTCAGTAAGGTTACAAGACTCAAGATCAAAATAAAAGATCATTTGTGTTTTATACATAAAAATGAGATTTGAAAATGAAATTAAGGAAACAGTTTCATTTACAAAATCATAAAAAAGAATAAAATACTTAGTAATGAAGTTGAAAAAAGAAGAGCAAAACTTTTAGAAGTCAGCACACTGTGGTGACATGTGCATACCTGTGTTTATTGCCACGCAATTCACAATCAAGACATGGAATTAGGCTGCAATTCACAATCAAGACAACGAATAGGTAGATGAATAAGATGCGGTATACTGTGCCATTCAGTATTATTCAGTCATAAAGAAGAATGAACTATGCTATTTGTGGGAAAACAGACGGAAGTGGAGATCGTATTGTTAAGCAACGTAACCAGACTCAGAAAGGCAAGTGCAGCGTTGCAAGTTTTCTGTAATATTGGAATATGAAGAAAAAAGAATGACATGAAGGTAGGAGGAGGACAATCCGACAGGAGGAAGAGGGTGAGAAGAGATTGCCTCATTACATAAACGAGGGTAGTGGGGGATGGACTTGGTCAAAATATGTTACATGCAGGTATGAAGACGCTACAGTGAAATTCCATACTCTGTAACATAAATATGGACCATGAAAATACATGTAGAAACAATAATTTATTAAAATAATCTCTAAAAATATAAAAATCACTGAAAAGTATTAAGACTGACCTAAATAAATTGAAAGACATTTCATATTCATGGATTAGGTGACTTTTAAAAAATGCTTCTAATCTATAGATTATCACAATCCCTATAAAAATACAAGCTTCCTTTGTTTCACAAAATGAGTGATTGATGATGAACCCAGACAGAAATACGAGGGATCATGAATATCCAAACAGCCTCAGTGGGGTTTGACATGCATTGACCCACTCCTTGCAATGTCAAAGTCTGCCATAAAAGCAACAGTCTCTACCATGGTGTGGCACTCTTGTTGGTATAAACATAAAAACCACTTGGCAATAGGGTTAGAGTTATGATCAGCTGGTTTTTAAAAGGGCATCCGGACAAGGAGGAAAGAATATGGTTCTGAGCAAATGGTGTATGGGCATCTGATGTCCACATGCGAAGACAGAACCTGCGTCCCTACCTTATGCCATGCATGGGGATTAACTCAGGATCGTACTCCTCGTGTGTGAGCAGAAAACTCTGGGAAGGAAACATTGGTCGTTAAACCTCTGAGATCTCGGCAAGATGACGGTTTCTTATGTTTTAACCCAAAAGTGTAAGTTCCAAAAGAAAAATAGATAAATGGCACTCTGTCAAAATTTAAACATTTCTTGCTTTAAAGCACATTCTTAAAGGTGAAAATGTAACCCATGTAATGAATGGAATAAAACATTTGCTGATTATATGTCGAATAAGGGACTTGTATATCTAATGTATGCACATCTCTTATATAAATGAATAATAAAATGAACATCTAAGTAAGAGGTAGGCAAAGGATTTGAACAGACATTTCTCCAGAGAAGATATTCAATGGTTAGTGACTACATGAGAAGATGTTCTACACTGTTATTCACTAGGGGATGCAAATCAAACTTAGTAAGATACCATCTTACACCCTTTAGGATAGCTAAAACAAAGAAGACAGGAAATAACCATCGCTCTTGAGAAGGTGGAGGAGTTGCTAGCGAGGTAGTCAGTGGAGGTGTAAGACTAGTCTCCCTGTTTAGAAGTCTAGGTGAGCCGGACAAAGATGGCAGTTCACAGCCTTTTTGTGAAACAGTTTGGTAGCTCCTCAAAACGAGCAATAACAGAAGTATAATATGACCCCGCAATTCCATTTGTAGGGAGATACTGGGTGTAATTAACAGCACAAAAACCTGTACACCAGTGTGGGGAGCAATGGAGTTCGTAACAGTCACTCAGAGCCTGTCATGGACAAACAGTATGTGGCATCTTCACCAAGGGAATATTATTTATCCACAGTAAAGAATGTGGCTGTATCAATATGCAGTGCACGAATGGACCTTGAATCGTCACTTTGAGTGAAAGAAGCCAGTCCAAAAAGATGGCACATTGTATAATGTGCCATCTTACATGGGATGTTTTAATACGCAAATCTGACAGGAGGAAGAGGGTGAGAAGAGGATTGCCTCATTACAAAAATGAGGGTAGTGGGGGATGGATTTGGTCAAAATATGTTACGTGCAGGTATGAAGACGCTACAGTGAAATTCAATATTCTGTAACATAAATATGGACTATGAAAATACAAGTAGAAAAAATAATTTATTAAAATAATGCTCTAAAAATATAAAACATCACTGAAAAGAATTAAGACTGTCCTAAATAAATTGAAAGACATTACTTACATGGGCTGTTTGTAATATGAAAATCTGTAGAATCGGAGAGTAGTTTTGCGATCGTCAGGGCTCGTGGGGAGAAGGGAGAGTAGTGTGAGTGAGCAGGTGGTGACTTGGGGGGTGAGGGAAATGCTCTGAATTAGACTGCAGAGCTCTCTCAATATACTAAAATGCATCGACTTGCCCAATTTTAAAAGAGAATTCTGTAGTATGAGTGGTATCTCACTAAAGCATTTGTTAGAAGTAATATGCGAGTGTGTATTTCTAACGTGGAATTTTACAATATTCTGCAGGAGGCAGCTGAAGGATGCTGGGGTGGGATGAGTCTGAACCACACCCCACAGCCTGCACTTGGGACTTTCTTAAGACCGGCAGATAAGATCTCCCGGCCTGCGGCACACACCACGGCAAGGCCAGGCCGGCTCCACAGTGGCTCCAGGCGTTTCCTCGCAAGTGATCCTGTTTTTACAATAAATGAGAAGGCAGCTGACAGGAAATAACAGTTCCTATGCCATCCTTGGGTCAAGGCTTTGGGAAGCACCTAGGTCTCTCATGAATAATCTGCTTCCTACCAAGGAAGAGGCCCTAAGGACTCCCCACCCTAGACACAAACGGCAATCAGCTTCTCACATGTGTATCCGAGAGAGTATGCAGAAACGGCTGTGTTGCAGGCTAAACTACCGCTGGAAGCTGTCACGGCCTCAGGTTGACGGTGGATTTGGGTTCACTGGTGAGGGGCAATTCTAGCAGCTTCCTGTCCTGATGATCATCCCGGCTGTGCTGTGAAGAGTGCAGCGATCACTTATGCTTAGTAATGGCCCATTTGCGTGGGAGACGTTAGACATGCACAAAAACCAGAAAACACAGTCCCCTGGCTTTAACGATGTTAAAAAGCAGGTTGCAGAATGCATTAGTTCAGCGCTTCTCAAACTGTGGCCGGCCTCAGAATCCCCGGGAGAGCACAGATTCCTGGACACCCCAGGGTTTCCTTATCAGTGGATGTGGGCATGCAGCCCAGTTCCCCAGCGGACTCTCAATGTGTCCTTCATTTCCTCCTTTTTCTTTGTCTTCTTCGAATGTTCTTTTTGCTTTTATAACTATCTCGTGTTTGCTTCCCCTTCCTGTACAATACCTTCACTACATTAAACCTGATCCTTGAATTTAAATCCTATTTCTAGAATTTTCCCCCCACGTGGTCCATTTTGCATGGAAAACACAGAAAAAAACAGTACTAATGGTACTTTTCCAGACAGGATTGTCTTGTTTGCTCTGCCACCAAGGATGTGCAGTGTGTCTTGGAATATGTTGATATGGGAAACTTATTTCTTTTTAGCTTTCAAACACAAGGAATTTACTTAATATAAAAACTCTGGGATCAGAGCAAAATAAAAGTAGTTTCTTAGGCATAGCATCATGATTTCATACACTCAGCAGAGAGCAGGCAAAAGCAAGTGTATTAGTCCATGTTGTATTGCTGTAATGAAATAATGAGGTGAATTGACTTCTCAATAAAGAGCCAGTATTACCCTTTTGTAACAACTCTCTTGCAAAAACTAACAAAGGTCCTAAAGAAGTGCCTTAATTTGTTCCCAAGGCAGTGTCCCTGATGAGACACCTTACTGCCCCCCCCCATGGCAATACCTCTCAAGCGTTTCACCACTTCCCACCACTGCACACTGGGAGGAAAGCTTCCAAAACCCAGCCCTTGGGGAAGACACTCAAACCACAGCACAGAGTAGCTGGGTCTGCTGCTCTTCCTATTCTACTTGCTCTGCCAAAATTGTGAAATCAAGCTGTTCTTTTTCCCTATCTCAATGCTTCAGTGAGCTGTGGTCTGCGAGGCTGCGTGCACAGAGGTATATAATGCTGAGAGAGGTGGAAGACAGTGTGAGACCACGCCAGCCAGACCTAATAGCATAGGTTATGGAACTGTCTAGTTGGGAACTCTCAGAAATTGCTAGAGTTCCCCAATATGTTCTAATAACTAAGCCTGTTAATGAAACTGGAGCTTTGTGAGTGAAGAACAACTTCCTTTCAGGAACTGAGCTCAAAACTGGGGTTTGGACATCAGCCAACTTTCAGAGCACACAGGATTGCTGTTTGAGACATCAGGATTCCTGGTGCTGAGACTCTGAGCGGCGCTGAACTCCCCTGGGGCTGGAAGCTTTGGTAAGGCAGGCACATGACTTAGCATAGAAGGAGCTTTCTCCACGCAGCACCGAACAGTGACTGGCTTCCTGAGGACAGCCAGTCCTGCTCTGGGCTCCAAGAAGTTCGGCAGTTGTCTCAGGAAAGTAAGCTTCATGTGTGATTCATTTCCACTCTTACAGGACACTGTCTTCCAATGGGTGTTTGGGAAGAAAATGCAAAATGTAACCCTCTGATGACTCAGATTGACAGTATCTACATTAGGACTTTTCCCCCCTTTTTCAGTCACTCGGATGGGTGGCTTGTTTCTCAAAGTGCCTAGAACTCAAGTCACCCCTTCGTGTATAACCCTCCCGATTGCTGGAAGCTCTGAATGGTCAATAGTCTTGACACAAGCAGATACGGGCTCCCCCACCTTCAGGCTGTTCTGGTGTGATACCTGATGAGGATCAGGTATCTGTGCTTGGCTGGTGATACATTTCAGCATTTCCTCAAGTACCTAAAGCCATACTTACTGGTTATTCAAAAACAATTGCAGCCCATGCTAATGATTTGTACAAGTGGAAATGTCAGTGTCTACCGTAGCCTGACACTAACTTTTGCTTTGGTTCTGTCAAAGCTCTGTCAAGACTGTGAATCCCAGGTTCCTTTTTGCCAAACAGAGTTACAGCAGCTGTAATAAGAGGCTCCAGTGAGAAGGGCTGTGTGAATCCACTGGCCGGGAAAGCCTACTACGGTAAGCCCAATTAAACTGCACATGGTTCATTGATGTGTTCAGTGTATTTCCTCCTCAGTTCCCAGAAAGTCTAGGGAATCTGGTGTTTGTTCCAAGTCTGGAAGTGCAGCAAAATGATGATTGCCTGAGTCTTTTAGTAGCATGGTAGAGCATTTCTAATAAGCTAGTCTGGTGGTCTGGTTTGACCCAATCATTAAATAAGGGAAACTCTGACAGTTTCTAGCCTGCCGATAGTAGAGTCTGATTTGAGGGAACTGACAAGTATAGATCCTCGTTGGGAAATGACTCTCATTTTATTGTCCTGTACAAGCTAATCAGTCTTAATACAACATATATTAAAAAGAACTTTAAAAGGAAATATGCTATATCTACAGAAAAGGGAACACATCATGGACAAATCAAGGATTTTTCACAAAATGAAATATTATTAATATGCTATGATTACCTGTGCATTGTACCGCTAATGGACATGGGGGTAGTTTCTAGTTCTTGGCTATTAAATACAGAGCTGCTATAAGTATTCTTGTACCTGTCTTTTTGCTGGCATTTCTGCATGCTTACATTGGTTATAAACCTAAAAGAGAAATGGATGAGTCATAGGATAGGCGCAGCTTCTTTGATAGTGGATGTTCCCATAGAGCTCCTCAAAGTGGTTTTATGAATACACACACCCACCAGGAAGATTTGAGAACTCTAGTTGCTGGAAATCTTTAGCAATACTCTGTATTTTTTTCTCTTTCTCATTTTTACCATTCCTATAGCTGTAGCCCTGATAATTCATTCTGGTTTAATTACATTTCCTTGATGGTTAATGAGGCTGAAGGTTCTTCAAACATTTATTGGCCACTTAAATTTTCTCTTTAATTACTTCTCTGCTCAATATTTTGGTCATATTTCCATGGAGTATCTGAATTTTTCTTATAGGCATTTTTAATATATTCTGGTTAAGAAAACTTTGTCAGATATGCCTACTGCAAATATGTTCTTTGGTTCTGTACCCTCTGGGATGTATCAATGTTCTTTCCTTTGTGATTAGAATATTCTGTGTCTGTTTCACAAAGTTATGAAGATTTTCATCTATGATTTCCTTTAAATGCTTTGTTGTTGGTTTAACTTTCACAATTAGATCAGCAGTTTTTCAACAATGAGTGTTTGTGTATGGCATTAAGTGGTGGTTCAACATTTTATTTTTATTTTTTACACCCCAGGATCCAAATCATTCATTGCTGTTGTAGAGAAGATCTCTTTTTTCCCTGCTTTATTTTGGTGTTATATTTAGTGTAATTTAGGTAACTTTGCACAGGTGAATTTCCTTTTGGGATATTTATTTGACTGCATGAGTCAGTCTGTCTAAGTTTGCCATAATATTAAGATACCCTAATTACTATAACTTCAGAATAAGACTTGATATCTGTCTAGTAGTACAAACTCAAGGTTTATTCTTCAAGGTTTTCCTGGATACTCCTCATTTTACATTTCTACAGAGTTTTTAAAATCATCTGTCAATTTCCACAAAAAAATCTGACATGATTTTGATTTGGATTACAATGAATTTATAAACCAATTTAGAAAGAATGACATCTTGGCAATATTGACCCTTCAATGATTAAGCCTGGTAGTTCTCTACTCTTCTATAGACATTTTAAAATTTGTCTTAGCTATTTTTGTGTTTTTTCCCTGTGGGGAATGTGCATAGTTTTCATTAGATTTACTTTTGGATGATTGCTGTTTTTGATGATACTGGGCATGATGTCATTCTAAAAAAACTTTATTTGTAGCCATGTCTTGACTTATTATGCTTCACAGATATTACTTTTTTTTCTAAATACAAATTAAGGGTTTGTACAACCATGTATCCAGAAAGTCTGTTGGTGCCATTTTCCCATACTTTGTGTCTCTGTGTCACAGTTAGTAATTCTCAATATTTCAAGCCTTTTCATTATTATTATTTTATAGGTGATTTGTGATCAGTGGTCTTTAATGTTATTAATGTAATTGTTTTGGATCCCCATGAACCTCAGTGATGAGACTTAAGTTGATCAATAAATGCGTTTGAGCTCTGACTGCTCTGTGGACCCACAGCTCCCCCACCCCCATCTCTTTCCTTTTCCCTGGACCTCCCAAACCCTGGGACACACAGCAGTGAAACTGAGCAAACCGGTAAGTGCACAATGGCTTCCAAATGTTCCAGCGAGAAGAGTTGCACATCCTCCATGTTAAATAGAAAGCTGAAGTGTTTGAGTTTCATGATGAAGGCATATCACAAATCAAGTTAAACCAAAAGCGGGGGCCTCTTGTGCCAAATGGCACCCTGGTCAGGGTGTGAAAGAAAAGAGAACATTTTTGAAAGAAATTAAAAGTGCTGTTCCAGTGAGCAATTGCATGCTGAGAAAGTGAAACAGCTTTATTGCTCTCATGGAGAAAGTTTCAGTGATCTGAATGGAAGATGAAATCAGCCATAATATTGGCCTTCCATTAGAGCCTGCTCCAGGGCAAAGCCCAATGCTCCTCGATCTCATGAAAGCTGAGAGAGGAGAGAAGGCTGCAGAAGGGAAGTCTGGAGTGAGAAGAGGCTCTCGTGAACTTCAAGGGAAGCAGCTCTACCATACAGAAGTACAAGGTGAAGCAGCAGGTGCCAGTGTTGAAGTTGCAGCAAGTTATCTAGAAATGCTAGCTGAGACCACTGATGAAGGTGCCAATGCTACATGGACTTCCAGTGCAGATAAAACAGCCTTCTATTGCAAGAAGACACCAGCTAGGACATTCATAGCTAGAGAGGAGAAGTCAATGCTTGGCTTCGGAGCTTCAAAGAACAGGATGACTCCTTCGTTAGTCTAGTGCAACTGGTGACTTTAAATTGAAATCAGTGTTCATTTACCAGTCTGAAAATTCAGTCCTGAAAGAATGACAATACATCCACTTTGCCTGTGCTTAGTAAGTGGGACAGCAAGACCCAGATAACAATACATCCATTTGCAACGTGATTTACTGAGTATGTTTAAGCTCAGTGTTGAGACTTACTGCTTAGAAAAAATAACTTCTACTCAAAATGTTACTGCTTGTCAACAGTTCCTCAGAGCCCCCTCATTTTGCAAACGAATTGTGTGTTTGAGATCCCTCTGATTTCTGACTGGTCAGAGAAACCCACATAACCAAAAGCTTTGCTGACTTCTCTCCATGGAAAAGATCCTGTCTCTACCAAGCCCAGTCCTCCGCTTGCAGCCAGAATTGGAAAACACCTTCCAAGAAAAAAAGAGAAAAAGAGAAGAAAAAAAGGGTTGGCAACAATCAGATCACATCCTAATTGTTCCTTTTCTCTGAAAACACTGGTTTCTTAGTGTTTCTCTGATGCTTTAAAAAAATACAGCGTCCTCAGTTTACTGTTTGTCTAATCAATGGGGCAACATCGAGTATGCATCCCGCTGGGAGGAGAATTTCTTGGCAATCTTAATTGATCTCCATTTCCTGACTGATTATAGAAAAGCGTGCTGCTCATGTGCTCTTAAGCCAGCGTTTCTTGGTCTTGTCTACTCATCTCAATAATGAGTTAGATGACATTGAAGTCTCTACTTCGCACACCCCATTTCACAGCCCATTTGTGCCCAGAGCAGAAAGCGTGTCTACAGCAGTAGCATCTCTGAACATGTGCCTCTGGCTGATTAGGTCCAGAGTTTACCAGGGAAATGGGGGTACAGGGAACAGGGAAAGCTGGAGGCCGAGCCAGTGCACAAGAGG